CGACGTGTAAGTCCGGGGTGAAGGCCTCGTCAGGAGACATACGAGTCTCCTTTTGCCTTGCCTCGTGGACATATTTCATGTCATGTAACTATGTCTGAAATAATCTGAAACTTAACTGAACTGAACCTGTCCAGTGTGACTACGCGAAAATTGAATTTTCGAATTACTCGCGCCATTCTCCATAGTAACGTCTGGTTTTTTTTTTTTACATGAATCAAACAGAAACGAACAGGCAGCATTTTATTACGTCTCTTGATGCACGGAAGGTACTTAATTTAGTGCAACTAGATCGATTACTAGGGATTACCTGTAGGCGTCTGATGTCATTGAATTTTTGAATCACTCGCGCCATTCTTCATAGTAACGTCGGGCATTTGTTTTTTTACATGAATCAAATAGAAACGAACAGGCAGCATTTTATTGTCTCTTGATGCACAGAAGGTTCTTCATTTATTGCAACTAGATCGATTACTAGGGATTACTTGTAGGTGGTCTGTCTGATGTCATCGGGATCATTTTGAGATTGTCCTATTGCGGCGCATGTGTTCTTGTGCATTTACCTTAATTTTGGGTAAGTAGGGCACTGTTCTTGATAGCATTGTCGTTTTAGACATCATACATTGTGCTTTCCTTTCACTGTGACGTAAATGGTTATTTGACTTTGGTGTCCCTGTAACTACTTTTTCAACGACGTTATCGTCAGCCGAATTATTATACTTCAATTGTGATCCATGCCGACCACACGCTAAAACAACCTTATACATAATTATGCAACACTCAACAGCTTAACAAACACAAGGCGGCGGCAACGCCTGACTCGCCACGAGGGCCCCCGGCATACGGCCCACGGTCCGTGCTCCGGGGACATACCGTGAGAGACAACCGTTCGCACCAAACGCCTCGCGCAAGATAGACTCGCTCAATTCTCTCGTGCCACCACCAAGGCTTGCCGCCAGGGGTCACCGCCGGGACTACCAATCTAAACATGATGATGATAGGGGTGATCAACGGGCCTCTTACAATCTACTTGTCAACAGTGCTGATGGCCATTGGTTCTTAATGCATCCCTGAAGGATGAACTTCTCCACCTTTTAGGCAAGCAGATTGTGTGTGTTTTTTTTTAATAGGCCGAAGGCGTACTGGTGATAAAGGATAATAATAAAACTGTAGCCTCGGAGCCACTTGGCTGGTTCAACAGTGGGCAGGTGGAAATAGTAGACAGGCGGTCGCAGTTAAATAACAAAATTAATGAGTGAATCGCGCAGTAAAATATCGCACCTTGCCAAGTTCACTTCACCTGAAAAGCGCTGTCACGGCACAAACAGAAAGGAAAAGCGTGAGGCTCGCACGGGATCATTGCGGTGGCTGCTGCAATGTACCAGCTTTTACCATCAATGGTTGTGTGCCCGTTGGCGTCGCTCGTGTGCTTGAAAAAGGTCTGTTGCTGGTGTCTGACTTTGCTCAATTGCTCAGAAATAGCGTTGGTCCCAGGTTCAGTGCACGATTGAGGACAAGCTTTTTAGCTACCATGAAGCTTCATTTACGAGCGTGGATTTCCTTGTGGCTACAAGCTCCTAACGGCTGGTTGTCACTTTCCCTTTCTTAATCCTTTTTTGCAGGATTCTGCAGAACTGATTTGCAGTGACCGACAATTTGTTCTCAAGTTGCCCGATTTCCCATTCTCATTCTGACAGTGACAAATCTTTGTAATTGTCATTTTACCCAAGAAGTAGGAGCAACAGAAGCAGTTCTTCTATAATACAATTATGCAACCCATGCAATATTTTTGTCTTGTTCAGATTGCTTTAGAACATTACCTTGGCCGGATTTGAAGTTTGACTTTTGATTTACAATGAATCCAATTACCATCCAATGAATTCAATACTGATGTGGCATTTAGGTCAATATCAAAGGAATGACCACTTGGTGTGCAGACCCATGGCATTGACTTGTGTATGTGAGTGCACCCAAGAAAACCTTTGTGTTTGGCATTCATCAGAAAATCCACATTAGTGAGAAACTTCAAGTAGTCTTTTTTATCCTACCAAAAGGCTATCAATTTTTTAGATTCTCAACCCAGAAAATGCAGACACAGAAACATTGTTTCTATACAGCAGGATAACCTATGTACATACGGTAGAACCCTGGTCACACGTTTTCGAAAAAATGTAATAAATAAACATACAAAATGCAGGATCCAAATGCAGAAAAAAATCGAGGCTGACAAGCTTATATTGAGGTTCAAGGAAAAATATTTGCAGGTTCAACGTACCATGGGAATTGATGATATGCAAAGCACAGATGACGAAGATTGATATGCCACTTTAAAATCAGCACAACGTTAAGAGGCGGATATAAATTATGCCGTACATGACTGTTGTGTCATGATTATCTTGATTGGACGTGTCATTTATCTTCGTCTATTCAAGTCACGTGGTACCAAATTTGGTATAAGTAGGGCTAGGGAAACGGCCGCAAGCGCATTATGAGCGTGGAATATTGTCATGTTCTTACACGACACGCATGTCATAATTATAATGTTTGTACCAGTTATATATCTTTGTCATCCATTGACATCACGTAATATCAAACTTCGTATATGGGAAGCTAGTGAAACTGCCACGAGCTCATCGTAAGTGCGGCATGTAGTCATGTTTTTAAATGGTAGACATCTCATGATTATCATGTTTGGACGTGTCGGTTACCTTCGTCCTTCATTCACGTCCCATAATACCAAATTTGGTATATGTGAAGCTAGCGAAATGGCCGCGAGCGCATCGTGAGCCTGGCATGTAGTCATGTTGTTACATGACACGTGTCTCATGATTATTATGTTTGGATGTGTCATTTACCTTCGTCATCCATTCATGTCCTGTAATACCAAATTTCGTACGTCTGAAGCTAGGGAAACGGCCACGAGCGCATCATAAGTGTGGTATGTTGTCATGTCGCTACATGACCTGCATCTCATGATTGTCATGTTTTCACCAGTCACATACATTTGTCATCTATTCACGTCCCCTAATACGAAATTTGGTATATGTGAAGCTTGCAAAATGGAGACAAGTGCATCATGAGTGTGGCATGTAGTCATGTTCTTACATGACACGCATTGCATGATTCTCATGTTTGGACATGTCATTTACCTTCGTCGTCCATTCACGTCCCGTAATACCAAATTTCGTATATGTGAAGCTTGCGAAACCCCCGCGAGCGCATCATGAGCGTGGCGTGTAGTCATGTTCTTACATGACATGCATCTCATAATTATCATGTTTGTGCCAGTCACATACCTTCGTCATTCATTCACGTCCCCTAATACCAAATTTGGTACATGTGAAGCTAGTGAAACGGCTGCGAGCGCATCAAGAGTGTGGCACATAGTCATGTTACATGACATGCATATAATTATCTTGTTCTCACCAGTCATATACCTTCGTCATCTATTCATGTCCCCTAATACCAAATTTGGTACGTGTGAAGCTAGCGAAACGACTGCGAGCGCACGATGAGCGTGGCGTGTAGTCATGACTTACATGACATGCATGTCATGGTTTCCATGTTAGGGTCTGTCACTTGTGTTCACCATGCAGTTTTGTCATTGATTGATATGTGGGGTTTAACGTCCCAAAACCACCATATGATTAATAGAGACGCCGTAGTGGAGGGCTCCGGAAATTTCGATCACCTGGGGTTCTTTAACATGCACCCAAATCTGAGCACACGGGCCTACAACATTTCCGCTTCTATCGGAAATGCAGCCGCCGCAGCCGGGATACGAACCTTCGACCTGTGGGTCAGCAGCCGAGTACCTTAGCCACTAGACCACTGCGACGGGGTTGCAGTCATGTCATACCATACCAGTTTTGCAACATCTCATGTGAATGAAACCACCGCAAGAGCAGCTAGACCATGAATAGTAAACCATGACATACATGTCATGATTTTCATGGTATGGCTAGTCATTTATGCTCGTCTTACTGTCATGACATTCCATACCACTTTTGGTATTGATACCATTATCGAAACGGCCAGGAGAGCTAAAAGTCGTAGGCAGTTAGATGGATAGATAGATAGAAACGCTCAAAGCTAGACCATGAATAGTAAACCATGACATACATGTCATGATTTTCATGGTATGGCTAGTCATTTATGCTCGTCTTACTGTCATGACATTCCATACCACTTTTGGTATTGATACCATTATCGAAACGGCCAGGAGAGCTAAAAGTCGTAGGCAGTTAGATGGATAGATAGATAGAAACGCTCAAAGTCAGCGAAGTTCGCCAAGAAATGCTTTGCATAAAAAAACATTTATCTGTAAAATGTTGAGAAACTTCTGGATTTTTAAACTTCTGGCATCTGCCTGGCAGCCAGAGGTCAGCCAGCTAGTTCCGGTCCGGACAGGAAACGATGTCATGGTCATGTGTGTTCGAGTCTCAAAACAACCCAAATACTGCAAAATTGAACGCTGGGGCAACCAGCATTAACGTAAAGAAATGCATCTGCCGTGGCTGCAAACAAAACTGTGTTGCGTAAGCATCGGCTTTCTGCATTGCCGCTTAGAAAATATGGGACTAACTTTCCCAAAAGGTGAAAGTTATATTCTCGATCATACGCATTTGAAATACGATCACATGTGTTTCCAAGTCCCCGCACAATTTACCCGTCCGTGAAGAAAACTTTCGGCTCCGCTCACAGGTTAATAAGCACGACTCTGCGCTGCGCACTTAAGAATCGTAGCACGTTGTTAGTTCTGGTGCGTAAAAGACACTGACAAAGTGGTGACATTTGACAAGCTTCATGATTTATCACCATCAACAAACCCATTCTTGCATCCAGTCAAATGGCAGCAGAACATAATAAGCAACATCTCGTGAAAGCGGTAAGTGATTCCGAAACAGCTGTTCGCAGCTATCACATACTGTGTCAGACACGTGCGATTATCAGGTTGCGTTCTGTCTAAACCTGAGACATGCGACCCTATTGTTTCCATACAGAGTACTTGTTCAAGCACGTCGATCTGGATAGGGAGTTTCCGGAGCCCAAGAATCGGCGCATACGCCTTGTGCCACCTTCCACGGACGCACCTGACTCGAGTCCAAGGTTGAGCCCCCCAACTCGCCCAGTTTTGAAGACCAAATCCAAGAAAAAGCCGCGACCGCCAGATCGAAATCGAAGACTCATGCCGAAAGATGTGGTGGTGAAGATTGAGGTATTAAGACAAGCTAGAGTAAAATCTTTTAAAGAGGTCCTGAAGCTCACCTTGTTTGGGGATCATAATTTATTGTTTCTGCTTCATTACAGTTCTCACCTGAATACAGTGTTTGCCATTGGCCAGTACTATTCTTGCACTACATGGAGAATGCACCTGCATGATAGTTTGAGCAAAGTTAAAGGGTATAAAAATTTCATATAGTTTGTTGCTTGTGCCTAAATAACAAATAGTGGTTGTAGCAAAAGCTCTACTGTGAGGGTGAGTAAGACCTTTAAAGCCGAAAAATGCGGCTCAAACAAAATGCTCCTGGGCCCTTTAAAGGTCACTACATTTATGCACGGGGAAGGAAGGCATAATGTTAGTCAGCTGTTTTAATGCCTGATCAAATATGAAACTATTTGCTGCAGCAGTCTGTGCTCTTGCATAATTCTTGCACCTTTAAAAATCTTTTTGAAATGCTTCCTTGCACATCTTGCACACTCTCTAATGCCCCACAGCACATGCACTCAACGAAGTGAAAAAACAGCGCGTAACACAGGACACAGGACAGAGAAGAGACGGACGAGGCTCTGTCCTGTGTCCTGTGTTACGCGCTGTTTTTTCACTTCGTTGACCATGTACCAACCGGCCCAAATAAGCACTTTAGTACATGCACTCAAAGCAGGCTTGGGGAAATTGGCAAATTTGTGAGGTTGTGAATACTAGTGAATGCTACTAGTGAATGCATGTGCTTGTACTAAACAACTAGTAACTGCTGAAATGCTGTCACAAATTTATGACTGAGTCTTCGTAGTCTGACTTGTTTTTGTTTGCATGCTTAGAGCATACCCCACACCTTTTCTTTTATTTTAATGAGTAACGTAATGTTCTGGCCAATTCTGTTCATAGTAATAGGAAGATGAAATCAGCAAAAACAGTTAATGAGCTTCACAAGCTCTACGATTGTTAATGCTGTAAAGTTTTCACTGCGTGTAGATAATTACATAAAGCTTACAGTGCTGCTAGCAGAATTTTTTCTCTATACATTTTTAGTGTGCATTTGTTCTTGGTTTTTTATATGCTGAACTTCATTCATATGCTAAATCATACCTGCCAAGTCTTCCAGATTGTCTGGAAAACTCCTGAATTCTGACCATTTCTTTCGCTTGTACAGTTGTCATGAAAATCTCCCGGAAATTGAAATGTCTGTGCATGATCTGGTTGAATTGACAAAATCGCAGGTCATTCACTCCAGGATTTTTGCGAACCCATTACACTTGAATTTCGGAGGGGTTCATCTAAACGTACAGTAGAATCTCACTGATGCGAAACCGTGGCACATACCGTAATTACTCGAATCTAACGCGCACCTTTTTTCCGGTTAAGCCAGTTCATAAATCGCATGCGCGTTATAATCGAGTACGAACAAAAAAATTACGGTCAATCTATTGCCATCGGCAAATTCAAAATGGCCGCCCCCTACGTGCGTCGGCATGGCGCGTCGGCCATTTCTGCCTATGTGTTTCCCATGTGCGGCACTTCGTACGTGTGCTGAGGAGTTCGTCATCTAGTAGTGCATTAGCATTGACGGCATCGAAGGGCCGACTCCAAAAACTCGAGCGCACCACGATGCCGCTTTTAAAAGAAAAGTCATCGCGTGTGCAGAAACGGACGGAAATCAGGCCGCATCGCGGTCGTTCGGAGTTTCCGAAACGTGCGTGCGGGACCGGCGGAAACAAAAGCAGAAGATTGACGACAGCAAAGCTTCACGCAAAGGCTTCAGTGGACCACAGCAGTGTCGGTTTTCGCAAATTAAAGAGCTGCTCGGCGAGTACGTGCTTGAGCAGCGAGCGGCACAGCAGCCCGGGACGACAGAACTGCTCCAAGTGCGGGCTATGCAATTAGTCTTAGAAAAAGGTCTAATGCGGAGCCAGTTTAAAGCGAGCAGGTGCTGGCTAACTAACTTTATGAAGAGGAAAGGCTTTTCCCTCCGAAAGGGAACATGCATATGCGAAACGTTTTGCGGAGGAGTACGATGAAAAGCTTCACAGTTTTCAGAGGTTCGCCCTAAACTTGCGGCGCAACAACGGCTACCTGCTTGGGCAAATCGGGAATGCCGATCAGACGCCTCTTTACTTCGACATGCCTGGCACCACAACCGTCGAGAAGAAGGTGGCGAAGCAAGTTCGCGTGCTGACATCCGTCCACGGTAAAACTACAGTGACGGCAATGCTCTGTTACACGTCAGATGGGCACAAGCTTCGCCCGTACTTCATATTTAAATGGAAGACGCTCCCTAAAGGAGTCGTTTTGTCGAGTGGTGTGATCGTGCGGGCCAGCGAGAAAAATGGGTGCGCGTTGCAATCGATGTCTTACTTTTTTTTTTTTTCGCGGTGGAAATCGGGTGCGCGTTACAATCGAGGGCGCGGTAGAATCGAGTAAATACGGTAGGTTTTGTGAAATTGTATTAGGCCGAAATTTCAATGTTCCGAACACATTTCCTAATCGCGGCGGGTGATGTGAACTTTAGTACCGAAACTGTCGAAGAAAGGCCGGGAGCAGCGTGCTCGAAGTTTCGGAAGTTCACGCACGAACTGTCTTTTGCAGTGCGTGTAGTTGTCGTTGCCACAACCGCTGCGGACGAACACGCGGTCATTCTTGACACGATCATATATGGCGATAACGTAACTGACAGAACTTCGAAAGTGTGCGTGCAACGCTCAACCAGTCAAAGCTACGCTGCTTTCCGCAAACTCTGTGAACAAGACGTGGCAGATGTGACTGTAATACATGGATGAACTTTGTGTGGGGTAAGTGTGTGTGCGTGTAAACATTGGTGAAATTTGGAAATGTTTGTGCGAGCGTCCGAGGAAAAGAAGGACGAGGACAAGAAGCTGAGCCAGCGACAGGGGGCGACAGGTAGCGCAAGAGGGGCGGGTGGGGAACGTGCAGAGAGCCGATCAAGACCTAGCCGAAGGACACGCCAGACAAGGGGACTGTCCTTGGATGTTTTCGTGGCAAGCTAACAGAGGGTCTGGTGCTCGCCTGATGGTCCTGACGGCGGCTCCAGCTGGGGCACACCAGACTAGGGCGCTGTCCGTGGAGCTCCTCCTGTCTGTTCCCTGGGGATCGAGGTTCGGGAGCAGACGTGCCTGTCTGGGGCTTCCGACACCGGGTGCGGCTCCTGCTACGTCAGCGTGCACGACAGGGACGACGGGTTCCGGATCGTCGCTGCCACCTGAGACGGCTGAAAGTTGTCTACAAACGTGAGGCGTGACGAAGGCCTTGTCTCCTGCTGTGACCGCACGCACCACCTGCGTGCCTGAGCTCGCTACGGACAAGGGGCATCGCCGTGCGTGGACTGTCGCCTCCTCAGGACGCTGGTTCAACCAACTGTGACTATCGTGTAGCCAAGTAGATTGGACTGTAGCCGCTCAAACTTTAGGCAGTTTAAGTGTGTACTTCTGTGCTCGTCTTTGTGATAGTCAATCGAGTCCCCTGTTCTTATAAATGTTGTTCGAGATCTACTCCGGCGTCATCTCATATCATTCATTTCGTTGACCACGCACGTGCATGCGTGACGAACCACCCCTGTCTTTACAATATTTTCTGGCGTCGCCGATACAGGACCAAGCTCTGTCGTACATATTTGAGCCTCACGTCGCTCTTGTGTGGTGGACGGCAATGAACGAGAAGAGAACGGTCGTTGAAATAGGAAAAGAGATGGGACTCCGTGGAGAGGCGTTGCTAGCATGGGTTAGCGCAGAGCAGAAAGAAATGAGAGACCAGCGAGATAAAGAGCGGGAAGAAGCTAAAGTAGTGGCACAGGAGCACAGGAGGAACACTCGAGAGAATTGGCGTGCATGGTGGCAGAGCGGGTGCTCCTGAAAGCGCAAAGGAGTTTGTTGGAGGCAGAACAGGCGATTACAAGAAGCACAAGTAGCGAGACCGGTGGTGCCCAGAGTTTCTGCAGCCCTCTCAAGATGATTCCTCCGTTTATCAAAGATAGGGATGAGCTAGACGCTTACATTCAAAGGTTTGAGAGAGCAGCATCTAGCCAAGGTTGGCCACATGACAAGTGGGCCTTGGCATTGAGTCTCTGGTTGACGGGCGAAGCACTGACGGCAGTAGGTCCGATGTCCGCGGAATACTTTACCGACCACTCTAAGCTGAAGCAGATTCTACTGCAGCGGTTCTGCTACACGGAAGAAAGCTACCGTGTAAAGTTTCGGGATGCCATGCCTGAAAATGATGAAACAGCACAACAGTTTGCCAGTAGTCTTCTTGGCTACTTCGACCATTGGCAAGAGCTTGCTAAGACACTGAAGACGTATGAAGTGCTGCGAGACAAGATCGTGTCGGAGCAGTTACTACGTTACTGTGAAGGAAAGCTGGCGACGTTTCTCAAGGAAAGAGCGTGTTACAACCTCGGCACACTAGTAATGGCAGCCGACCAGTACTTGGAAGCCCAAGGTATCGGTAATCTTGCTGAAGGCAAGAAAGAAAAAAAGACAGAAGAGGAAGCTGCCTGGCAGTTATAAAGTCGCTGCGACGACAGGAAGCAAAGAAAAGCCCCTCTGCTTTCGTTGCAGCAAGCCAGGACATAAAGCTTTCAACTCTTCGACCAGATCTACAGCACCGAAGCAATCACCACGCTGGATATGCAAGCAGATTGGCTACAGTGTGGACGTATGTCCTACTAGCTCTGGCAGACATGAAGGTACATGTACTCTTCTCGGACGTGACCAGATGCAAAGTGAGCAGGAGAAGCCGAAGCCTGCCAAACAAGGTACATGTAACGGGCACGGTATGGTCGACGTCGCCCAGAGCTGTACAACGTTCTGTGGAGGAAGCCAATAGATGCCGATGGTCACTGTTCTCCGCGATTCTGGCTGCAACATGGTTGTAGTCAAACGGTCCCTCGTTCTCGACTCCAAGCTAACTGGTAATCGCCGTGTTATACGCTTACTCGATCGGTTTGAACTGTGTTTGCCGGAAGCCAAAGTATTTATTGATTC